GAAGAAGAAGAAGAAGAAGAAGAAGAAGAAGAAGAAGAAGAAGAAGAAGAAGAAGAAGAAGAAGAAGAAGAAGAAGAAGAAGAAGAAGAAGAAGAAGAAAAAGAAGAAGAAGAAAAAGAAGAAGAAGAAAAAGAAGAAGAAGAAAAAGAAGAAGAAGAAGAAGAAGAAGAAGCTGAAAATGGGAACAGGGCGCCTATGAGAATATCCCGAATGTTATGACGTTATTTTTTAACCCATAACTAAAACGCCGACATTAACATGCTGAAAACAGAAGGCAAGACAGAAATTCGTGTTCTTTCTCCAAAGTTTTGCCCGTTATTTTCTAGTATGAACCGTTATTTTCTAGTATGAACAGCAAGTAGTTTGGTAATGTCGTACTGTGGTTTAAAATTTGGTCTAAAATTTATTGTGCAAATATTCTAATTAATGTAACCATAATATCGTCACTTGATTAAATTCGTGAAGTAAGATATCAGCGAAAACCAAGTAATGACTGAGTCTGCAACATGACTTGACTGCAAGAAAAACATGTTAAAAGCGATGTGGCTATACAAGAGCACTACGCAAGAAGCCAAAGAAGAAGATAAACCAATACAGAACCAGTGTCGCGAACCGCTAAACGCTGCGAGATTTACTAAGAAAGGGATCCGAAGACTTTTGGACTGAGTGGCAGAGCTACCAATGCTTGGTTTTTACCCCCAGATCTGGGTTTGTATATGATGCCTTGGGGAAATCCGGGTTTTGTTTTTAAATGTATCCTTCTAGAAAATTGGTAAATGTTTCGTTTCTAACTAAAAATTGTGTTCATTTTAACAATCTTTTTTTTTGTTTTGTTTTTTTGTTCTTTGTCTAAGTTTTGCTTGTGTTTTTGTTCAGCTAAGCTGGGTTTTCCCCCCAAAAAAAATCCTATTGGCAGCGCTACTAATTGGTTCGATGTGCAGTGACTATAATCTGTCGAATAACTAACTATTTACGTAAATTTTTGCATATAGCCATCTTTCTGACTTACACGGCAGCTTACTTCCTTTTTATTTTACAAACCGCAGAATCTATACAGATATATACACTAACAAACATGCACACATATATAAAATGCATACGTACATATTCTCATTTACATACATTTAGGACACCAGAAAACGTAGGCGGACCTATACATAATCATACATCTATATTTTTATAAAATGTGTACATATATTTCTTACCTGCGATTTGTTCGTACTATAAAACCGTAAATGTATCTGTACATAAACATGTATCTATACACGTCTGGAGCCCATACAAACAACTTCCTTTTTATGTCTAAGAATAAAACGCAACCAAAAAAAATATATCCTACCAACATTATACTTCTTTATTGTACTAGAATGCAGCAAGATCAAATACCATCACAGGCGCTACATCTCAGAAGATCAGCTACAAGATCAAGAGGACCACCCGAAATACACGAATCGACAACATTAAAGACACTCTACACTTTCATGGCATGACAATTGCCAGTTACAGCCAGCGCGCACTGGATTACAAATTATTCCTCCCCACGCCGCTTAACGACAGAAGTGGTTAAGAAGTTTATGATGATGATTATACCTTCTTTTCATTCTATATGTGCAACTCTTCCCCCCCCCCCTTTCCAAGTAAGATCTGTACGTTTAACATACATCTATATAGGTTTAAAACTCTCCCTTCTCTCTCTTTCTCTCTCACATACATTCACATATACATACATACATGCACACACACTGGGCATTCTTTAACTTATATTTTTACAATCAGAAACTGTACATATGTCTACATACCTAAATATATCTATCAGTGTTTGAAACTCACGTGTATCTATCTACACATGTGTAAACCCGCAAATCTCTTCCTTTTATAACCACACACGCACATACACACACGCGCGCACGCACAAACCATACATACACAACCACTTTACAAAGGCTAGGGATTAGCGATTTGCAAATGACATGACCTAGGTTACACAAGGCGTGCTAGGTTATATCATCATAACGTCACTACAGAATGGGCATTCTTGTGTCTGCTAAGTCCTTCGATGCAGAAGCCATTCCTAGATGCCTCTACCGATTGTCCGGCGTGATGCTGACCACATCACCCATCTTGTGCCGATTGGTCTATAAAAATATAGGTCTAGCCCTATACGCCTAAAGGCGTGGAAAAGGGTCCTTTACTTTACTTTTTTCTACCGATTGTTCTCACGAGGAGTTGGTTACAACGTCTCCTGCGTCGGTCTCGAAGACGGCATGGGTGAGCTTCACTCTGTTTTACTACCAGGTCACGCAATCAATAGCATGACTAACTAAATGAAATTTGTTATTATGTGCTTAATTGTTAAAGAGAGCTTGGCTGTACATTATCAATACACATATCGTTTAAAACTATGAGAAGTTCTTTTTCTTCTTCTTCCTTTCCACATGCATAATTAATTTAACCCACATTTTTATGTGATGTCTTTGCGATGTAACTGTCTTTTCTTCTGCTATTTTAAATTGAATATTTGCTGTAACAAATGTGCGTTCAAACACTGTATTATGCTGATTCCAAGAGAGGCTTTATTTTTAATAAACAAGGTACGTTTCTTTCTCCCATGCTGCTATCCTGGACCTTATATTGCAACACCCGTCTTCAAACAATAGATTGCAAGTGGTCCGATACTTTCCTATCGCGTGCGGCTAACACAATGTCAATGCCATCGTCTTCACAAAAGTCTATATTTGTCTTCCTACTTAACTAATCTGGCAGTCTCCAGTAGTCACTTCCTGTGTATTTAAGCTAGTTTGGAAGTAACACACTAGTGATTTAGGATGGTATATATTTCCACACACTAGTGATTTAGGATGGTATATATTTCCACACAATAGTGATTTAGGTTGGTATATATTTCCACACACTAGTGATTTAGGATGGTATATATTTCCACACACTAGTGATTTAGGTTGGTATATATTTCCACACACTAGTGATTTAGGATGGTATATATTTCCACACACTAGTGATTTAGGTTGGTATATATTTCCACACACTAGTGATTTAGGATGGTATATATTTCCACACACTAGTGATTTAGGTTGGTATATATTTCCACACACTAGTGATTTAGGTTGGTATATATTTCCACACACTAGTGATTTAGGATGGTATATATTTCCACACACTAGTGATTTAGGTTGGTATATATTTCCACACACTAGTGATTTAGGATGGTATATATTTCCACACACTAGTGATTTAGGTTGGTATATATTTCCACACACTAGTGATTTAGGTTGGTATATATTTCCACACACTAGTGATTTAGGATGGTAAATATTTCCACACACTAGTGATTTAGGATGGTATATATTTCCACACACTAGTGATTTAGGATGGTAAATATTTCCACACACTAGTGATTTAGGTTGGTATATATTTCCACACACTAGTGATTTAGGATGGTAAATATTTCCACACACTAGTGATTTAGGATGGTAAATATTTCCACACACTAGTGATTTAGGATGGTATATATTTCCACACACTAGTGATTTAGGTTGGTATATATTTCCACACACTAGTGATTTAGGATGGTATATATTTCCACACACTAGTGATTTAGGTTGGTATATATTTCCACACACTAGTGATTTAGGTTGGTATATGTTTCCTTTCCTCCAGGTAGCTTTTTGGATCCTGTGAACTGTTACTCAAGTTGACGGTTTTTTGAGTTTGTATTGCTTTGTCCTCTAAGTGGGTACACCACTTGTGAATGTCCCCCCCCCCTCCCCCCCCTCTGTTTATTCCTCTTCTTCTTCTTCTTTTTCTTCTTCTTCTTTATCCCCTTCCTCCTCTTCTTTTTCTTCTCTTTTTGTTGAAATTTTTTTTTGTCCTATGAATTCCATCGTGAGAAATCAACGGTTGTATTAATATTATGTTCTGCCAATATACGTCCTATCCAGGGCCAGCTGGTTATTCTCATCTCTGAGTTCACTTAAATGTATGCTGAGAGTAATAGTTATAATATGAGGAAGAAAAAGAAGGGGTAGGATATTTGCTAAACTATATCTATAATCAACGTCTTTCGAGTTTATTACTGAAGCAGATAATGAAATAATTAACAAGAATGTTTAGTTTATACAGAAATGTGTTAACAAGTTAACATCCATGACAAGTGTCCGTTGGAACCATTTACTTTAAACTAAACAGAGATACATTGCACTTTGGCCCTACTTTTATGGTGAACTATTCAGTCAATGTTAATACACATATCATATGAGGCGCAGACGATGAGATCACATGAGAAGCGTGTGCGGAAATATCAACAACAAATGTCAGCTTTGGAGCATGGCATGTTTCTCTAAATGACACAAAATTTACAGGGCATTAAACACACAGAGCTGTTTCCGATTTTATGGCTTTCACCAAGCTTGTAATCAGGTCGGGAAAAACTGCACGCCATACTGCCCAAATAGCGGCATTCAATACACAACATCGATACAAAAAGAGAGTCACACAAAAAAAAAAATATCCAGTGGTCCCGTTATGGTTCATGCCAGGAGTTTTGGAGAAGTGAATGCCATCCGCGTTTGGCTAGTCTATCACGGTACTGTCTGTGTTATGTTTAGTTAAAATATGTACTGGACAACCTTAGTGTGGACAACATTAGGCGGCCGTAGTATTAGTCTGTCCAATGGTAGACATATGCCTATTTAAGCAATGTCTGGGTATTAGCTTAAATCCTTAGCATGCTATTCTGTATGCATTTGTCTGTAAAAAATTCAAAGAACATAAGTTGTGTGGATGGTTCTTCCGTCTGAATCCCAACCAACGCTTTATGCATTCTCTTACTTTTCACAACTTGGTCAGAACATACTTAACTTATCTGGCCTTCTCCAGTAATCACTTCCAATATGTGTTTTAGCTTGTCTGGAAGTCGTACACTTGTGATTTAGGTTGGTGGCTGTCTCCCTTTCTCTGGGCAGCTTCTGTGATTCTGTAAAGAGTTAGTCAAGTCGTCGGTTTCTTTGCTTGGGGTTCTTTGCAATTGGACTGACGCAGTTACAGCCAACGGTGACATATTTCTGAACAAGTTGCCACCGCTCTTCGTAGATTGTTATGTTGGTCGCGCTGGGCAGTGGGTTGCATTTGTTAGGGTCTCTTTGTAGCAGCTTCAATGTGTATTTGATTGGCGCGCAGTTGTACAGGCGGTAGAAACACTTGTCTGTCTCGCATCTGCCCTCCAGAACAAACTGAGGGAATACGCCCTTGTTCATCTGCCGTTGTCTTTGGCTAAACTTGCACTCCCATGGAGGCGGCTTGCTTAAATTAACCGGTGACTGTCTTAACTTTTGTTTCAACTTTTTCCGCTGTTTCTTATCTTTCCCACTCAAAAACAACTGAAGCTGAATACTATTTGTGGTTTGTGTATCTTTGGCGTCTAAGTCACCGTCGTCGTTATTATTATCATCATCTTTGTTATTTACACTGTCACCAGTATCCTCGCGTTGTCCTCGGTCGTTCATGGTATCACCAGTATTATGTGATCGAGTTTCAGCCTCGTGGTGAGACCTTCGCCGTCTGCGTCGCATGAAAGGGTAGGAATCAGCTTCTGTTGGTTGCTTAGATCCATCCCCGTGGATGACACTGCCTCCATCCCCTTTACTGTCTCTAGACTGTTTGTTGTGGTCTATAACTTTACTGTCTACATGCCGGTTTAAAACCTTCTTCCGAGGCAGCCACGTTCGGCTTTCCACAAACTCTGAATTCAGTTTGTCTTTCGTCACCCCATTATTTTTCACAGTCTCTTCCCTCTCGTCAACCCAAACGTTTTCGTCAAAATTCCACAACTTGTCATCGTCCCCTGCTCCGTTGGAATCCTCCTCGTAGTCAACACTCGGGTCGTCACCTTGAAAGCCCTCACTGTCGCCGAACATCTTTCTGGCACTGGCTAAATCCGGTGCCATCTTCGTGTCGTCGAAATGAGAGCCCATCATCATCATCAGGTTCGAGCGCGACACAGGCTGGCATAGTTTGTACCGGAAAATCACGTGATCGGGCTGCTCCTCAGTCCAAAACTCTGCTCCCATTGTTGGCTGCAAGAGGAGGAGAAGAACAACCAGCAGGACTCTCACCACCCGGCCCCGGAATTGTCCTACCTGTTGGGAAGGAAAGTGAGGAGTTAATGGTTTGTTTTAAAATAGAGAATGTTGCACTGTTAAACATACATGTAAAATTTGAAAAAGAGAATTAGTTATGTCTGTTGAAACTAAGAGAAGAATTAAATAATGACAAGTGCTGAAAAAGTCATTGTAAAGGAGTTCATTTTGGAGTTGAACCAGTAATCAATTAATTAATTGATGTTGTTGTTGTTGTCCTTCTTCTTCTTCTTTTTCTGCAGCTTTTGCTGCTGCTGCTTCTTCTTCTTCGGCTTCTTATTCTTCGGCGTTCTCCGTGTAGTTAGGAAATCCACCCCCATCCATCCATCCATCCACCCACCCACCTACCCACCCACCTACCCACCTACCCACCTACCCATCCATCCATCCATCCATCCATCCATCCATCCATCCATCCATCCATCCATCCATCCATCCACCCACCCATCCATCCATCCATCCATCCACCCACCCACCCATCCATCCATCCATCCATCCACCCACCCATCCATCCATCCATCCATCCATCCATCCATCCATCCATCCATCCATCCATCCATCCATCCATCCATCCATACATACATACATACATACATACATATGTATATAATACACATATAATTTATATATATATATATACCACTTATACTGGTGGCAGAGCACTTATGGTTTATACCCGTGTGCAATGACGCTTTTTCACATCTCCCGACTTTACCTTTTTATGTATGTAAAACACCAACACGAAGACTTGCACAGGATATAAGTGAATCGTTGAATATGAAAGTGCACGAGGCGTGATAGGTGATGAGAGACCAAATTACTTTCAGGCAGACCATGATGAGAGCGACGTTCTGAAAACACATGCTACACACACACACACACACACACACACACACACACACACACATATATATATATATATATATATATATATATATATATATATATATATATATATATATATATATATATATATAATCTTTCTACAGTCTTTTTGGTCTGTCTGGTGGTCTACGACCATTTATCTATGTCATGATTTTATGTGGGCAGATTTAGTGTGTCTCTTTATATGCACTGGAACCCACAGGGGAATAGCAATAAAGGAAGGCCACACACACACACACAAACCGGAGCTGGAGAATGAATTTAGAAAGATGGGGAGGACATGGGGAGAGATGCATCTGATAGCCATGGATAGAACGACTTGACGTGAGTTGGTTAAGGGCCTATGCTAAATTGGGGCCAGAAAGGCAGAAGAAAATGAAGAAAAGAAGATCTGGGAGCCAAGGTCACTATTTAAAAAAAAAAGCCTGGCTCCGACTGGATCTGAATCCACGATCTTGGGATCCACAGGCGAGAGTCTAACAGCTATACCACGGAGGCTCCTGGGACATATGGTGCCAGGCCAATATTTGAATTGATAAATCGACACGATGTGTGACGTATTCTGAATCACGACAGCAGCATCTACATTAACATTCCATTAACAACTGAGTGGTCTTGAGGCTTGGCGTCCGCCTTGAGTGCTGTCGGTCCTGGGTTCGGGTCCCGGTGAAGGCTAGGATTTTTTCACGTGGAGTTTTGTAGTTTCCCCTGTCTCTGTGTAGTAATACCGGACGCCCGTGTGTATTGTTGCGCACGTAAAATATCTCTTAGCAGTCGGAAATCGAAAAAAAGTAGCCTAACGGCTCTGCAAGGGCAAACATTTGGAGTTAAAAATCTACCTAAAGTATTTCAGGATCCTCGCCGGTGCTACGGAATACGTGCATTCCGCTTAGATTCTTTCCGACTCAGACTTAATTTAGATGTATAACGGAGCACTTATAGGTTATAACCCTTGTAACATGCTGTTGATCCGTTGTTTAAACCTATATATAGCCTGAGACTTATACTGTTTTTGTTATCCTTTGCGTTCACCGGCTGTCAATTCCGGCCTACAATTCTGGTTGTTCGGCCACTTCTCGACTTTAGTCTCGCTCCAGAGCTTGTGTTTTACGTGCACAACCATTTTACAGATTTGGTGCGTTTTGTGTGCATTCAAGAAAAATGCACACCGGCTTCGAAAGAAATAGTTTTAATTGTCTGCGCTGTGAGCAGAAAATCTATTTTCTTTCTCCTCCCAAAATGGGGCCGCAGAAACTACATGGGGAGTCCATTATACTGAACTGGAGTTTGCTTTCAATGTGGGTTCCTGGACCCTAGGAGGGATTAAAAACAGACTCACCTTATCCCTACCCCCAACAGACATGTCGTATAACCCTACTAATTAGGGATTGATTGAAATTATGTGCGTTTTGTCGAAAAGTGCAGATATCGCAGACTGACTATAAACCACAAGATAACCTGCCAACAGATCCTGCAATGCCCAGCGCAGAAAAAGAGCACGAAGACGGGTGATTCTTCACCGCTCTATGCCCAGCTCGCTAGCTCAGTTAGTTAAACTTGACTTCGCGGTGACGGGTGACGTACTCCTTGAGGTCGGGTTTCACGCCAATGGGTTGGCAGAAAAGCCACATTTCTCCCAGATTGGCGGTATCTGTCATGGAATTAAGGTCAAAGGATTGCAATATCCATAGTACCAAACCAAAGGGTTAACAACAAATGGTTTCTGGATATTTAAAAACAGAACAAAAATCCCCGCTCTTGATCTAGTGACCAAACCACCATCACATTATGCTAAAGCGGTTGGTGATAGCTGTATGCCATAGGGGACGCGAAACGTGCTGGGAACATTTCGCTACAGAAAAGGTGCGTGTAGTGACGGAATTATGGTTTGACTGCTTGTGTTAATGCCATTGAACTAGAGCTGACAAAGACCATACTCAATCCCAACTGGATGGCATTGCAAATAAGGTGTATAACTGCAGCAGAAGGTGGCGATACCAGCTGGACCAATCTTGCGACAAATGAGATGAGTGTTGTTAGGGAATTACGGCTTGACTGCTTGCGTTAATGCCACTGAACCAGAGCTGACACAGATCATACTCAATCCCCATTGGTCGGCACAGCAAATAGGCTGTATAACTACAGTCTGACCGAGACAGTTAGGATCAAAGAGATGCTGCAACACTGTCCTCAGTAAAAGAAAATCTGCCGTAGTTGGCCTAAAGACACACTTATTGCAGCTTTGCCGTGAACGGACATAGCGCAAACGAACATCACCACAAAGACAAAATCGATGTCCACATGCTTAAGTCTCCAAATGAAGCATGTATGGCGTTAGCAGCTTTACTCCATTGCCTCCCGCAACAAAGAACAAAGCAGGATTTCCATTGCATGACTTGGATTGTCAAAGTGTTCCCCGTGACCTGGTTTCAAAATCCCCTATTACGCTCTGGGCTAGGAAATCAATGCACTGTCCTTACTCTGTCTGTAATATGTCAGGTCAATGTGTTAGCAAAGGCGAGGCGTGAATGTAGAAGCGAACTTGTCGCTCACACTTTCGATTGTAAAAGAACAACGCATCCCTTTAATATGTATTATTACTATATAGTATTTACTACAAATGCGCCACTCGGAAAGAATGTAAACAAAATGAAAGTAGCAAAAAGAACATTTGCTGCATGCTTACTTACACTACTCGTGCAGCAACTAAACCGTGAGAGTTACCGGTTAATAACAGTACGATGCTGGCTGCACCCGCATATTCCCAACAGCAAAACGACCGAAAGGAAAATATGTCACTCCATCTCCATTGTAATCGCTACCTGAAAACGCTTAATTTTTTGTCTAAACCGGTTATGCATGCAAATTGATCAAGCCTCGCCACTGTGTGTTAGCTCTTTCACTGGCAAAATACGTAAAAAGGTGTCGTCGGTTCTTTCATTAATAGTGATTTAAATAGGCGTAGTCGATTCACGAGCGCTGTGTTTTTACGGAGATCAGCAAGGATCATCACTGGAACTATGCAGCTAGAAAAGAGAAGGAAGTAAATTGTGTGAAACAACCTGAACTAGCAAGACTCCCTGACTATCCCCTTATGACAGTGGACATTGAGAAAGGGTCATATATACAAACCAAAGGTAACCAAGGTGCAAATATTACGAAATGGGCAAACCTATGGTAAGTAAATAACCCTTTTCCACGCCTTTCAGGAGTATTGGGTATATAGGGCTAGACCTATATTTTAAAGACCAACGGCACAAGATGAGTGATTTGGTCAGCAAAGCTATAGGGTACATCGTATACAACACTAGTACTCATTTGGGGTTGGGTCGACTTGGGAGCTAGGGTTGTATAAAAAAAAAAGTCTGGCTCAGACGTGACGGGAACCCACGAACTTACAAACTAAAGGTGAGCGTTTTGCCGCCACCCCATGGCAGCTTCATTAAGTGTATGTGTGTATTTATACATTCATGTGTTTGTATCCAATACATAAACGTGCATTCCCAAGTAGGTATGCACGCAGGTGTGTATATCTGTCTGTGTGTGTGTGTGTGTGTGTGTGTGTGAAAACACGTATAGGTGCATTCCGACGTGTGTATACGTCTGTATATGTAATGCATATATATATATATACATATATATATATATATATATATATATATATATATATATATATATATATGTGTGTGTGTGTGTGTGTGTGTGGGTGTGTGTAAACTGTACATGTATGTGGGTGTCTATAGTGCATACCAGCCTCCTCCTCAGCAACCCTCACTGGGTACTAGAGTACCCCTTCAAGCCACTAGTTTTGGTGCAATCAACATTTCTTAGCCAACATAACTGGCACAAAGAAACCAAACCACAATTGAAGCCGGTACTGCTGGCAGTAGGTTGAACGTGGTCGATTCTTTTGTTTTGTTTTTACTAAATGGGTTTATGGTTGAGTATCGCAAGACGCTTTTTGCGGGGAGCTGGAAGTTCTGCGAAGAAACACCGAGCCCTTGGTGCAATGGAGTCCATCTCAAGTCCAGCAACTCTAAACATTTCAAATGCCGCGACCCTTTAATACAGTTCTTCATGTTGTGGCAACCCTTTAATACAGTTCCTCATGTTGTGGCGACCCTTTAATACAGTTCCTCATGTTGTGGCGACCCTTTAATACAGTTCCTCACGTTGTGGCGACCATTTAATACAGTTCCTTGTGTTGTGGCCTCCGCGACCCTTTAATACAGTTCCTCACGTTGTTGCGACCCTTTAATACAGTTCCTCATGTTGTGGCGATCCTATAATACAGTTCCTCGTGTTGTGGCAACCCTTTAATACAGTTTCTCGTGTTGTGGCGACCCTTTAATACAGTTCCTCATGTTGTGGCGACCCTTTAATACAGTTCCTCATGTTGTGGCGACCCTTTATTACAGTTCCTCATGTTGTGGCGACCCACAGCCACACAGTTATTTTCGTTGCTACTTCAAAATATCATTGAATATCTGTTCTGCGACGATCTTTGGCCGCCGCTGTGAAAAGGTCGTTCGACCAAACAAATTGGTCACCACCGGCCAGCTGAGAACCGCTGCTCCAGACTCTGTCAAACAGGACAATAAACACCTGAGCACATTCTGCAGACCTGTCCACTCAACATAGAACTTCGAAAAGACACCTGGCCTTAAGAGCAAAATGTGCAGAGCAAGCTACGGGGAACCATGAAGGACGTGCTGCTGACAGGAGAGTTCATAGAGGCAACCCACCTGATGGTCTAATCTGAGCATACGAAACTGAACGCAAAGAAGAAGAAGAAGACGACGACGACGACGACGACGACGAAGAAGAAGAAGAAGAAGAAGAAGAAGAAGAAGAAGAAGAAGAAGAAGAAGAAGAAGAAGAAGAAGAAGAAGAAGAAGAAGAAGAAGAAGAAGAAGAAGAAGAAGAAGAAGAAGAAGAAGAAGAAGAAGAAGAAGAAGAAGAAGAAGAAGAGAAGAAGAAGAAGAAGAAAAAGAAGAAGAAGAAGAAGAAGAAGAAGAAGAAGAAGAAGAAGAAGAAGAAGAAGAAGAAGAAGAAGAAGAAGAAGAAGAAAAAGAAGAAGAAGAAGAAGAAGAAGAAGAAGAAGAAGAAGAAGAAGAAGAAGAAGAAGAAGAAGAAGAAGAAGAAAAAGAAGAAAAAGAAGAAGAACAACAAAGCGCCAGAGTCTCTTTGACAACGAACGACAAACAGCAAGTGACCAAAAGTGCTTCCATTCGGAGGAAAATCACCCGGGCACATGTCGCAGAACTCCTGTTTTAACCCACAGGTTATATTTAGCCCCCTCCTTGCAACCACGACAGCCTGGATGGAGCTTTATTTACACCAAATATTACGTCCCATGGGAGGGGGATAACATTCTCCTGTCCAGCAATGAAGCTTTCCTTATTTCTTGTCAACATCCGTTCATTAGCAAATGCGCACCAGTGGCGTCTGTACTCGGACTGGCTGTTCGTCAACAAGTCTCTCATTCTTGCTGACGATCGTATGACCATCTTAACTAGGGCTTTATTGGTTGTGGTGGGGGAGGGGTGCTAAGGTTCGGGGTAGGTTTTACTTTCGATGAAATACAAAAAAGTTTTTGTTTTTTTTCCCAAACATCTGAATCCCAGGTAAGGGCTGAAATTTTTTCCACGTTGACTTGGACTTCTATTAATTCCCCCGGCTTTCTGTGTTGTGAGATTGGACGCCCGTGTGTAATGTTTCGTACGTAAAAATTCCCTTGGCAGTTGGAGATCGAAAAGAGCTGCCTAAGGGCACTGCCTGGACAAAATTTAGAGTTAAAAACTACTCAAAGTATATCAGGGTCATCGACGGTGCTACAGAGCTTGTGCACTTTGTTGAGCTTCATCAAATTCAGACTTGACTTAGAAGAAGAACGGAGCACCTATGGGTTACTACCCGTGTGCCATGCTGTTGATCTGTTGTTCAAATCTGCAAACCTTCAAACCCCCAGGATCTTAACCGTGACAACTCTTTTGGTAGGATGATAATAGTTAATACTCATTCACGATAAACCATCTCAATGTGCCTCTGTATGTCAACATTTTGTTTCATTACATAATTAATTGCAGGTATTTATATCATCATCAAGTATAACACATGTGATTATTCATAACGGTGAAAAACTGTAAGACTCCTATGTCTGTTTCGCCTTAAAATGGTATCAAGTAAAGTCCTGAGAAATAAAAGTGGCCGGCCGGATATTGACCGCATCACTCCCTAGTGCCAATGACTGATTGATTGATTGGCACCTTTCCGTCTTTCCAGTGTTTTATTGCGCTGTGAGGAGGCGTTGGACACACAGCGTATGACGATGGCGAGTGTGATTAGCAAGACCCGACCGTGTCAAGAAAAGTCTTCCACAATGATAGCATGGCATTTCAGGACCATTGTTGTCAACATTTGTGTTTAATCAGTTTTTTTTTTTTTTTACTCAGACGCTCAGCTCTTATCTTTTCTGCAATCATTTTTGTTTGTTCACTTTTATTCCATTTTTGATGTGCCCTCTCCACACAACACGGACCAGGATATGCCCTCTAAACACAACACGGTCATGGATATTCCCTCTCCACACAACACGGTCCAGGATATGCCCTCTCCACACAACATGGTTCAGGACACTCCACACAACACGGTTAAAACATGCCCTCTCCACACAACTAGGATCAGGATATGCCCTCTCCACACAACACGGTTCAGAATATGCCCTCTCCACACAACATGGTCCAGGATATGCCCTCTCCACACAACACGGTCTAGGCTAGTCCACTAGTACCCACTGGTCTACAAAATGCAAGTCTAGCTTACATGCCAAATACTTATAAAGCCGTGAAAAAGGGTCTGCTGTGCGTAATCCGAAGATTCACACAAGGGCGGACCGCTAATGAACATGAGATATAACGAGAGACACGACGTCAATTGCCACACTGAAGAATTAGAAGAGAGTTACAAGGGATGTATTAATGGCAGAAGCTTGTCTTGATATGTTCTTAATGCCGCCGTTCGCGGGAAAGCAATGCTCTGAGCTCCATGTCGAAGGAAAGAAGTTATCCTCTCATCGTTAAGCACAGTGATCGTAACATATTCTTTTCATGGATACATATTATATGTATGGACAATTTGCCCCCAAATACTACTGTACGGCGATAACTTTCTGCCATTTATACATGCCTTGTAACTGTCTTCTGTCTAATTATTCTCTCGGCAAGTGAAGTCGTGTCTCTCGTCATACCTCATGTTTATTAGCGGTCTGCCCTAGTGTGAATCTTCGGATTGCAAACAGCAGGGTCCTTTACCTTTACCTCACGAACATAGAAAACGCAACGGTCACTGCATGCTTGCGGAAACTGTAACGTGTGAAAGCTACCAGTTACTAGCATTGCCATGCTAGTGGTGTATGCATAATCGCAACAGTAAAGTGTCGTTTAGGCAAATACCGTGTGATATCCTCTATTGTCTAACTGTTGCCTGATAACGCTCACATATGTGAACTGATTACGTCTGGCCCCTGCAGCCATTGATACCCATCCAAACATTGGATCACAAACAGTTTCTCTCCATGGCATTTAACGGTAAACTTAGAAGTTGATAATGACGAATTAAAACAACTGGATGAATACATCACATAACTGCATCTAATTATAAAGTGTAACATACCTTAGCGCTTGCATCTGGCTGTAACCGTGTTGCCTCAAACTCAGTGAACTGCTGGGGTAACGATGTTCCAGAAAATGCTGCAGACAAAGGTGGCAACGGTGACAATGTTCTGATCACTGGTTCTTTAGCAGAAGATTTGATGCGAGCCTGTGTCAGTTCTCCATTGAGTTTAGCCCTGCGACCCCAGCACTGTGTCATGACAGAATCGACTGGATCGGCTCCGGATAGCAGGAGGGGCATTCGAGAAATCCAACATAGAGCATCTTCAGACTGACTAGGAATTGGTTGGAAGGCAAGACCCGTGCTTGGTTCGTTAGAACAAGGATGCGTAACCACAGAGTGGTCTGGGCCTGCCACTCGATCAACCTGCTGCAGATATGACTGTCTCACAATGGTGCAGGTTCACTGGGTAACCTTATCAGCCAAGCGGAAATCTTTCTGCAAATCTCTATCCTCGCTGCAAACAGATTGTTACACAGCAGCTTCAAAGAACACTTGCTCCAGATACGTAAATATTGTGTAAGCTTTGACGACAACAGTATGCAGAATAAATTATATAATAATCCAGGTGAACTTCAGACACTGAATCAATATTTTAGAGTAAATATGTTTCCAGGTTTACTTTTGATAAGAAACATCAGACACCTCATTAACAGAGTATCAGATATTGTGAGTATCAAATCTTGTCAACATATTACACTTTTAGAAAGTATATTAAGATGTATGCTGATCGTCGAGATATGGGATCTAATGCTACTGTTAAAATATCTTTAAACTGTAATGATTCAGTGTAGCTCTATGAACATGATCTGATAAGACAGCTCATTGCAGTCTGGCCGAAGCTGGTCAAATTTTGTTGTGCTGATTATTATCTGAAATTGAAAAGCAAAACTGTGTCAACTTCAACAGATAAAGGGTTATATAAGTGTGTACATTTGTTTGAGCTATTTTGTTTCTGGATCTTCATCATCATTATCATCTACTACTTCGTGTTCTACAACGTTTTAATCTGCTAGAAGAGAACGTCTTCTTCTGATCTTTGCGCTCACCAGCTGTAAACTCTGGCAGAAAGTTCTACGTGTTCGTCCACTTCTGGATTTTGGTATTATCAAAGAAATTAGCTTTGCGCGCCGGCCAGTTTTTACAGATCATTCTAATGTGCAGGCAGACTTTGCTCCTGACCTCTTGGGCAGATATATTCTGGCTCTGAAGGAAACCCTTAATCAGTCGACCTTTATGACATGCTAGTTAGGAAGGCAGTAGGTCTATGCTTTTTCCCTCCACAGTGAGGCCCTGAAACCTACAAAGGGATGGTAGCAAATGCATTTCAGAAAACAAAATGAGGTGAAGTGCTTTCAGAGAGCAAAGTGATAGGACACAGGAAGTTTGCGGAAAGAGCGTGTACAGAGTAATCAATAAATGTATGGTGATCTGCCTTCTATTGGAAGAGTTGACCGTTGAAAGAGCTAACCTATAACCTCTTGGCACCGAAACGTTTCTGATTCAATGTTCTTTAATCTACAGGTCGCAAACGGCCCGCTGACATTTTCAGGGCGTCCACCAAAATCATTTTGACCAAACATTTACCGGGTAAGTCATTCGGAATTTACACCGTTGCAGAGCAAGTGAATATCTATCTCTGAGTTATAAAGCTATCAAACTGTTAAAGGAGGCAGGAGAGTTCACTTGAAAACCGTATGAAAATACGTGTTTAGTTATCTTAATAATAAGAGCAAAACAGTGATTTCTAATTAATATTATTACAGAGCCTTCTCTTTATGAAACAACGTTCCAGCAACGTACAATATGATTCCTAACTTCTAAGCAGTATTATATCGTGCATCAGTTAACAATTTTCATTTTGTCACGTTGGATTTAATAAATAAAATAATAATCAAATTTTTTAGAAAACCGTCAGCTAGTTCGTGAAATTTCCATTTTTCTGGACAGCAGGTGAGACTACTTTACAACGATGTGGTTTTATTACTTAGAGGTTAGTGAAATCGTATCACAATCCACTCGACGTACCTGGGTTCTTATTCTTATTCTTTTTCTTCTTTTTCTTCTACTTTTTTGTTTTTGTTTTTTGTTAAACTGAAATAAGACGTTTATATCTGCCATTTGTCTTTCGTATAACTTCCAATGCAGATTTTTGAGTTCATTTATCGTCCCTTATGCACTTATATGCCAACTGACACCGTTATTAAGACATCTAAACACAAGTATGATCGCCAAAAAACAGATTACAAACAGCATATTTATACCAAACACTGCACTACCAGTGCCAAACAAACACTGCGCTACCAGTGCCAAACAAACACTGTGCTACCAGTGCCAAACAAACACTGTGCTACCAGTGCCAAACTATACCAAACAAATACTGTGCTTCTTGTTCTTCTTCTTCTTCTTCTTCTTCTGCTCTTCCACCTTGTACCTCATCGAAGTGTCGTGGGGAAATGTAACATTCATTGATGAGCTTTGTCAAGAGCACTATTAAGACTGATGTTCATTTATGTAAAGTTGTTTTTAATGCCATATCTCCATATTTTCTGAGGTCTTCCACTCGCTCTATATGTGCTGTAATGTTTTAGTGTGGTTCGCTGTGGCGGATAGTACCAGAGCATTCTTGTTAGGTGTCCAAACCACTTCATTTGTTGTTCTTTAATGACTTGTAAGACTAGCTTTAAAATACTGTGCTACCAGTGCCAAACTAGGATATTATCAAAGGCTAAGCAACGTAAAATTAGCACATGAACCATCAGATGCCTAAGAAAACTCACCAACTTAAATATAAGAGATACAGTTAGAAATTATTATCAGACTGTGGTAACAAGCATGCAGCAAATTCAATAACAGAAGATCAAATGGATTGGTCATACAGTAAGAACACATAAAAAGATCTTATGTGAAAAAATGAGGTCGCCCTAGGGGAAAATTGACTGATCACATTAAAGAACTAAATCGACACGGAATGGCAATAGCCCGTACAGCAATGGATCGCAAATTTTTCCTTCCCATGACGCTTAACAGCAGTGGAGAAATTGATGGTAATGATGATGGCAATGATGATAGTGATCTGTAGAGTTTACTTTCCATTGTTGCTTTTTTTGACTAAAATGTTTTCCCTAATGTGACACATTCGGTGAGTTTGTTTTCTGGGGATTTTTTTCAACACCTATTGCAAGTGATCGATTACCCCCCCCCCCCCCCCCCCCCCCCCCCCCCCCCCCCCCCCCCCCCCCCCCCCCCCCAACCTAGTGTGTGCGATTCAGAAAGAGATCATGCTTCTAGGTAATGGTGTGAGACAAGTAGCATGTAGCCATTACAGTGGAGAGGGTATACGGTGATATTTCCTCCTGGCCGCTTCGTTGTTGAGAATATGCGAGCGCATTTACCATCGTAGTACTAGTAACTGGAGTAACGTGACAATTTCTGCATGGGTGGAGTAAGCATAAAGCAAGCGGGTTTTCCACCGCTTTTTTCGAGGCGAGTGGCTTATTTATAATAAAAAGTTAATAGTAAAATTCGGCAATGGAAAGTATGTGCTGCGATCAGGGCTGCAAATGGGTTTTTTTTTTTTTTTAAACCCAGCTTAGGGGGACACAAACCCAATCAATACATACACAAAGAACAACAGAACAAAATAAAAAACCCGGATTGTTAAAATGTACACAATTTATAGTTACGAAACGAAATATTTACCACTTGTATATACTTGGAAAAAAAAACCTTGATTTTAACAAGGCGTCATAAAAAAAACAGAAAAGGGAGGGGGGGGGTGGGGGGCAGCATCGGTAGCCCTGGCTGCAGCCGCTACATGACCCCGCCTCCCCCATGTTAAAGGTTACAGTCGAGAGGATCGACTTCACTACACCGGGATTTACTTCATATGGTTCGGTCTCTCTCAGCAGAATGAATGGCTAGTCTCCTGCCGAGAGCGCCACACAGAGCGTGAACGTAGCTTCGGCGACGATCCCGGAGATCTGAAGATCTTGAAGTGAAGGACGCAGCCGTGAACCCAAACCCTGACCTTCAGAGCGCGAGGGGTAGTCTTGACAACTTTACCAGGAAGACAATCATAATTGATCACATAATATCACTCAAAGATGGCAGTGGGGGCACAGCAGTCAACATCCATTGTGGTGACAGAATACATTGTTTCTTGCAGCGTAAGTAAAAGTGAAGTAAAACAGTGTTCCTCAACGTTTTCATATCCATGGCCTATATTCTTCTTCTTCTTCTGACATTCTAACCCCCCCCCCCCCCCTTCCCCCTCCAGTGGAACATAGGCCTTTCAACAACTCATGCCAAGTCGTTCTATCGTTTGCTTTCATATGCATCTCTCCTTATGTCCTCCCAATCGTCCTAACCTCAATCTCCAGCTCTCTTATCCGTGTGCTTTTTGGTCCTTATTTACGGCCATGCCCATCTGGTTTCTAGTGCAAAGACATTCTAGATATTTTGTCCTGAAGCCTTCTTAACGTGTGTGTGTGTGTGTGTGTGTGTGTGTGTGTGTGTTTGTGTGTGTGTGTGTAGGCGAGCGCGCATGCGTTTCCTATCCAAAGGCAACGTCTTTTCTTCACCTCTTGGTCCACTGGAACTTGTTTAGCTTTATCTCAACGCTCAACATCAGTTATTCTATCATAGCATCAAATGTCCTCTATTCTGCGCAGGCAGCAGTCAATGAACGTTTGCACTCCCGCTCCAACAGCACTGACTCGACATAAGAATGAAAATTCCAAGTTTTAGTATAAGTTTTAATTTCTTTTCATCTCGCCAAATTCCCTAGTGCCATGAAAACTCTCCCTGCCCTCTGTATTCGCATCCTAAAATCTCTATCAGTGAACCCATCTGTATCTACATTACTGTCTGCGCCCCCACCTGATAGCTATCCTATATGTAAAGATGTTTGTAAGTTATACTCCACCAGGACTTCATACAAGCGTTAAACACCCGGTGACACAAAGTGACACCATGCGGATGAGGATCACCGTGGAGAGGTCCCAGAAACCGCTTTTTTTTTTTTTTTGGGCCCCGGATACATTCAGGGCCCCAGGCACAAGCTAAGGTGTGGCTTCAAAATAAGAAAAAATTGCATCCCAAGGGGGACGACTTCAGGCTAACTAACAACATACCAAACAACAAACACGTGAAGATAACTGTTTATCTGTTAAATCTTATGTCACAAAATTGAAATTTTCAGGTAATGCTGCTGCCAAGAGGTTAACAAATCTGATGTA